AACCTCAAGCTGTATCATTAATAGCCATGTGAATTTGTAATAAAGTTATGAATTTTACTATTTTTGTCCACAGTGCTAAGTGCTCTCTAAGGGGCATTTATAAGGCTTCCTTTCAGGAAAAAAAAAAATCAACTATTAAATGTTGTCTGTTACTTCCGAATTAAACAACTAATTTTGACTCTCCTTCCAGAAAGGAGGGAGCATTACATAGTACAAATATTTTATTTATTTATTTATTTGCAACTATGGGAGACTGGGCTGTATTAAATTGCCATCTTAATGCGGACTGAAAATATTTTCACTACTTTTTCCTGCAAAAATCAAGATTTAGTTATTCATAACATCATATTCAAAACAGTGCTGCTTGAGCAGTCTGTTTTCAGAGGCAAAGTTCAATTTTAAGATGTTAGGTAGCGGTCATTCAGCATGTTCAAAATTAATTTAATAAAAATTAATTTTTTCTTGAAATTGAAAAACATGCAAGCCAAAAAAGCAATAGAACCAGTGCTGCTGACAACACAAAATACATCAATGGAGTCAGACTGTATTTACAAATGTTTTCAGTGGGATTCAACATTCAAAATCTAGTTCAATTTTGAAGTTTATTTTTTAATCACTATAAATTCCCAGTGTCACCTCTCTTCCCATACCTATATGCAGGAATCATAGTGGTGCCTCTTTTTACTCATGCTCTTTCATGTGTCGAGGCTGAAACTAATCACAAAAGATAACTGAAAAATCTAGGAAGGAATGACCATGTAAGGATCAACGCCTACTGCTGTTCACTTGATGAAAACTTCAATTCTACTGTACCTACTCAAGCATAATTTTGTGCTCAGCCTAGAGGATGAGCTGTGTAGAAAGACTGCATATATAGTTCTGTCACTACCAGTAGCTTGATGACTTGCTTGGTAACACGCAGATTAACTAAAAGTCATTATTTGTATACAGGGTGTCCTTGGGGATTTCAAGCAACAGGTTGTTAGTTCACATGAGTATACATGTATACACATTAGCTTCAGGTGATTAGGAACGACACTGAGTAAATGGTGCAAATAATTCTCAGTAGCATGATTTCCACAGCAAACCTTTCTAAAAGAAATGTCATTTAGAATATATACGCAAATAAATAGAACATAAACGATTGTCCTGAATGGTTTGGTTGAATTTGCCCAGTGTGCTTTTGAAAAGGTTTTATTTCTTCTGTGCACATTTGTTTTATAATTATGAGAACAAGGTCAACTGAAATTAGGTAAATGGCAGAGAGGGACTCAAGTGTAACTAAAACTTTCCAACAGGCGGGGAAAGATCCATGTAGAAAATATATTTCTGAAGGTGGAAAACTTTGACTAAGAAGTTTGCAAATTGGATACAGCCTATGCAAGACTGAACCAAAGGTTCCTATTTACCTGCCTCACTACAGAAATGCAGTCTCTGAAGCCAAATCAAACCCTTATTCTAAGAGTTGAAAATTAAATTGTCAGACTGGAAGAGAAATGAGCAAGTTGATGACCTCCTCCTAATGAAGACTGACTGCACATTTATTCTTAAATTCCGATGATATCAAATAAAATGCTAAGATATAAATATTCCACACAGTTAATCTACATGAGTGGTACCACCCTAAATGTCCTGTCTGCCTTTACTAAAGTGGCCACAGTGGCACTGCAAGACTGTACTACAGTTGTGTTCTCACTTTAATTACTTGAAATATCCCAATATTACTCATATCCCAGTGAACTGCAGGACACCAGTCAGGCCTTAGGGCACATGAAGGATGGGGAAGGGTAATAAAACTTCCTTAGTCTGAAAGACAAAAGAACAGTGGCTCTAGCAAGTAACCTTGTCTAGTTCACATTCAGGATGCCACAAGATGCATGTGAGAAAGAAAAGGGGAGTTGAGAGCATCCAAGCAATAATTCAAGGAATCTGCAGCAAGTGACAAACACAGGCAAGATTACATTGAATATAGCAGCATGCAGATACCAGGTGACCTTGCCCTTTTCCCTCCAGAAGGATATACGATTTGTAATACACATATATTTTTGCAAATAAGATGTAATCATGTTTAGTAGTTCATGTCACTGGAACAACACATTCCGTAACTTTCACTTGGGAGAAAAACTAGAGATCAGGATTTTGAGGTGCACAGAAGTCAAGCAATTTAGACCATTATTTAAAAGCATGTAAGCAGAAGTCCACCATGTTAAAGGACTTTACTTAAAGCTACCAATAGGTGTTTTACATTAACGGGGTATCTCACTCATTTTGAAGGGCATGAGCTTCATTTTGTCAGAGTTGTTGTCTGTCAAAATTCACTGACTAGTTACAGCCATAAGCTAGAAGTATTAATTGTTTTGACTTATAAGTAAGTGCAAGATCCATCTCATACTTTATTATCCTGTAAATGCTTTTCTCAGTCTAAAGCAGGGAAGTTACAAGTGAATTAATGTTTTGTGCATTCATTCTCTTGTCTGTTCTACACATACTTGGAAGCAAGAGTGAATTTCCAGGCCTTCTACAAGAGTCTAACAAAAGCCTGTTTACAGTATTTCATAAAATGCAATGGACTTTTCAACATTAGGAGATGAAAGCCTTTCATGGAGACTGTCAGTAATAAGACGCACAGAATGCTGTTACATTGTCTCTGTCAACCAGACCAGATACACTCCTAGGTCAGAAAGTCCATAAAGGGATGCAGAAAACACAGGTAACTTCACCAGAAGGTACTTATTTCTTGAAAAGGAATTGGGGAAATGGAGTAAAATAAAAAAGCAAGCCATGCAGTTTGAGCAGTTTGTAGTATCCAGAAGACAAAAGGCAATGAAGCAATGTATTCTAAGAATGATCACACTGATATATTTAGGGAAAGCATTTGATCAAAACATGCCACATTTTGTTGTTTACACTTAAGCAAAATATTTGCTTTTGTTAACTCAAGAAAGCTAAAATTAGAAGGCACAGAAAATTAACAATAAAAAAGACACTTCCTATTTTAACCTTTTTAACCATTGCCCCTCAACCCCAAAGTCCCTGATGGCATCATTTAGATTTATTTCACTTGTGGGTAAAACTTGTCCATTGACAACTGACCTGATACAATTAATACTAAGGCAGTGGCTCATGAAGTTTTCCAGAATAAAATCTTATTTAATTTGCAAACACACTAAAAAGCCAAATGTTCAGACATGGATATCCTCTTCCATCTAAAAAATGCAAACACAAAACACCATTCATGCTTCTATTTCAATATAACTATAGTTGTGACAGTTCTCTTCTTCAGGAGGGCAACAAGGTTTAGACTATACATGCTACTTATTTTTGCTTTGTTTTCAAAGATTCTCTTCAGCAGACTGAACATTCTCACACTAACTCCCTCTTATCTCCAGCCAAGAACCCACTGCTGTCTAAATGTGCCAAAAATGGCTACCCACTTTTGTTATGACTGTTTAAAAATAAAGATAAGCACTGGCATTTACACTTGTAATTTTACAGTATGAAGGCTTGCTTAACACCTCTATCAGTGACTCGGATGAGGAGACAGAAGACACTCATGATGGCTGCAGATAATCAGCTGGGGAAGAGAAGCATCTGACACTCCAGAGCAAGCAGAACTTGTAGGAGTAACCCAGACAGTCTGGAGGAATGGGTTAATAGCAGCCTTATGAAATACAGTGAGGACAAATAACAAATGCCAAGTCCTGTCCCAGCAAGGCAGAGCCCTGCAGCCATGAGGCTACAGCTCGAAAACAACTCTGGGGCATGGTCCCAGGCACAGGAAGGCTGTGAGCTGAGCCAGGGCCACCCATGTGGCAGAAACAATGGCTTATCAGTGCCCCAGGTCTTTCAGGCAGGTCACAGCCCTGGGAACCAGGGGAGGGTAGGGGCTTTACCCTCTGCTTGATGCTTATCAGATTCTATCTAGGTGCTGCTTATGGTTTGGATCCCCAACAAAGAAACACCACCAACAAAATGTAAGGAATTAAGAAGAGGCCACTGAGATGGTGGTGCTGGAGACCTTATGCAGTGAGAAGTGGCTACAGAACTAGGGTTGGTTCAGGCTGGAGGAGGGATGGCTTTGGGGGCACCCAACAGGTCCTCCATTCCTTCCTATCAACATGGCACTGATGGGAAGGAGTAGAGGAGACATAGTCATGCTCTTCACAGTGGTGTATGGGACAAGGGCAAGAGGCAGCAGGCCCATGAAGACAGCCCAGTGGTGGAGCCAGGCCCAGGGAGACTGGGCCACCCTTGGTCAGGAAAGGTTTCACACCCTGGCAAGGAGGGGTGAAGTCCTGAGCAGCCTGGTCTTGCCCAATGGTTGAGCCTCTGGTGGTCCCTGACAGCATGAATAGTTCTGCCATCATTTGAAACACAGTAGAACAGCTTCCACTAACACGCAAATTGTAAATGTAAATGTTTGGCCCTTCTAGCCCTCAGTTTCCTCCAAATGAGCAAGCTTCCTTTGGGCTTCTTCACATCAGTTAATTCTACCAACAAGTAAAGAAGCTGGTACACTTTTCTGGTTCAGATTGCATAACACTGATGAACTAAATTTAAGTAAGCTTGTTTATACTTACAGTTTCTAACTCATTTTACCTTATAAACACTGAATTTATTCTGCTTAATACAGAACCATATCTCTTTCAGTGAATGACATCTTATTTTCTTATTACTTTGTCCCATCACGGTAACCATCCTGTATTTCATCTCTGGAAAGCCAAGCAATCAATGCTTCATGACAAGGTCCAAGATCTGCTTTCGCAGAAGTTAACTAATTGGTTGTGAAGACAAGTATCTTAACAAGTATTTAAGGTAGGCACATGCTCATTTGTTCACCCATTGCACTTAAAGACAAGTACTGAGCTCCTATATGAAGTTAATCACAAAAACACTTAATTTCACTGTCAGGTCAATCTTTCTTATCATACTAATCATGCACCAGCAATAAGCAGCAACATCTTTATTGTGATGGCTTTTGACATGGGTGCAGGACTCACCCCTCCTGCCTTTAGCAGCTTTCTTCTGAATTCCTCTGTCGGGTTGTTGAATGTGAGCTTTTCACAGCGGAGGTGATTTACAGGTGGGTGGCCTTCAAGGTGCAGGAATAAGTCATAGTCAAATCGAACTTTCTTAGGTTCTTCCTGAGGGTTGAAAATAACCAGATAGAAACATCTAACACCAAAACTAACTAAGTTGAAAACAAGGGCTACAAAAAGACTGTCAATTAAAATTAAAATTATGTCATTTTTAACCATTCTTTGTGTTCTCAGACACACATGATGGAATTTACCAAGTGTCAGCTGAGCTACAGTAAATCAGAGAAGCTCCTATCAGCCCATGATAACACAAGGTAAAATGCATGAACTTCATGAAGCTCTGACCAGGCTTAATTAACACTTATGTCAAGTTATGCACAGGCTACAGATATGCACATAGGCAAGTATCATGATTCAGCTGACACAAGGTAACTCAGTCACCCACACAATCACACTTCTGAGCCCTAGAGAGTACTGAAGACACTGTAAAAAGTGTTGAATGCAAATTCCTCCACTGCAGCCAAACTATTGTTTTCTCCACAAGCTGTACTAAGTATGAAACTGCTGCAGCCAACTACATTTAATCTCCTATTTATGGGGTCTGCTCATTTACTAAAGAAACTTCATTGCCTTAAACAAATGTGGCCAGATAGATTTCAAGTGCTGTACTACAGCTTACAAACAATCCAAATTCTCTGCCACTGCAGTGAAAAAATGAAACTGAATGTTCCCTGTACCAATATGAAGAAAGAAAGAACAGGAAGAGCAAATGTATCTTGAAAGAAGTCACCAGTGCTCTACTGCCCCGAGAATGCCACTAGTGTCCTTTTAAAGCTGAGGCTTTGTACCAACTTCAGTATCTTTTCTCTGGTATTACAAATTAAGTACATCTTCTGTTACACATTTTCTCAGTCCCTTCTAGAAGCTCTATGTAAGTGCTTTTTTAAGGCACTATTAAGTAGCCCTTTCTCCAAAGGTCCTGATGTGCAACAGAAGTCACCAAACCAATGTCAGTCTTAGGGTAGAACACATATAAAAAGTAAAATTGAGGAAAAGTTTTAGTAAAAAGGAAACCATGACGGAAGAGGAGGAAGAGATGCATCAAAACCTTGGCACACATCCAACACTGCATGTAATCAAAATACATGCTCTGTTCAGTGACAGATGCTTAAAAAAATTCACATTAACCATGTTTAATTTTGATTCAGGATTCCAAGGATGGGAAGAATAGAAAGCATAGAAATCTCAAGTTATTCTAAAAGTTAAATCAGAGATTTCAAACACAGCCAAGAGACATGCTAACTGTCTCATCTCTAGACTTGGAGCAGAAACAACAGAAGGGGACCTGAAATAAAAGGCTCGCAGTTGTCTCTTTCTGAAGACAGAAGAAGCAGTTCTCTTAGACTGAACTATTTTCTTGACAGATCATTTTCAAAGGCAACCATCGATGATGATATTTCTTCTTGTTAGAAATATTAACCTATGATTTCATGCAGAAAAAAATGGAAGTGATTTATTCCCTGGTCTACTTAGAAAACCGTGATGTTGCTATAGGCAAAAAGTTGGTACCAGTAGCTTTGCCATAAAAGCAAAGTTTTAAGAATTCATAAATGGAAGTCTTCAAAGAACTTTGTGGAAAGTCAGATGAACATAACCAGTGATTAAAAAGCAGACTATTACTACACAAAAGACTTTCGGTGTCACTGTACTGCCTGTATTTTAAAAACAGTGTGACAGTGAAGACAAAATATCCTGCACGTTATGAGCCTTATCCTATATGGACTACATTTTCCCAAGTAGGAGTCTTTTGACCTAAAAGCATTTTTAAGGACTTTGTCTCAATGATTAACAACTATAGCCTGCTGCTGCTGAATTCGGGAGCAGGGGTTGTTGTAATTTCCCTAACTCTTTAAAGTTCGAAATATTTTCCATCATTGTGAAATACCTGTTAAGTTTTCTACCAGTTTTTTTTTAGTCCTGGGAATGGGCACCGTTTAATTCTCCGTGGCCCTGGGTGGCTTCCTGTACCCCTTCCTTCTCTATTCATTACAGTATTTTCTGAATCAGAAATTGAAAAGTTGTCTACCTTGAAAAAAATGATGATGGTGTGTCTCCTCTTCCTCCTTCTGTCTATCTCCTCTTTTTCTGTACTGGAATACCTGTGAAGTGGCTTAAGGGAGGAAGAATAGCTGAGCCAGAAGAAAGGGGTAATTTGCCAGCTCAATTTCTGTGCCACTCTTCCTTTGCATTCACCCACCCCAGGGAAGGGCATGCAGCTGCAGCTGTGTGAAGAGCTAGCTGACTCACAGTCCAACTGCTGCTTGTCGTATTCCATGACACCAAAATAGGGGTGAGGGATGTTTGCAAACTTCCTAATTCCACATGCTGCTTGAGGGTGAGGTGAGTTGCCCTCTTGATCTCAGTCTAAGCCAGAACTCCTGCTGGAGAACTCCTGAGACTTGCAGGTCTCCACAGTCAGCAAAGGCACGCAAAAGTCTGAGTGGAAAACAAAAAAAGAAATGTCGGGCAGGAAGCTTTCTGTAGAGATGCTTCAGTGATTGACTCACTGTCTTCTGACTTACTTTGCACAGTTTTGGGATGAGCATTTAATAAAGAAGTTAAGGAGAATAGATTGCTTTTCATTAGATTTCCTGAATGAATCAAAACAACTTCCCTAATGGAGACAGGGCTAAAAAGCATAGCAAAAAGGCTGATCAACTCACTGAGGCAGTTCTGTTTCCATTTTTGACAGCAAAGAGGGTTGACCAAGACCTGCTCTTCACAGATTGATACAAGGAACATGTCAGAATTACGTGTTCAAAACCTACAACTTAAAAAGTGCCTGAGCAGAATTATCCACATCTCACACCTTAACAGAGCTTTCTGTGAAAGATAAAAGAATACTGGAATACATACTTGAAATCATACATGGCTAACTCTAACACAATTTTTAAGTGATCAGGGTTCCAGAAAAAGTCTTCTTTTATGCACTTCTATTTTCTTTCTGGTTTAGTCTTTCACCAAGCATTCAACACATTAAAGATGTAATGCTGACTTGATTAAAATAATTAAGTTAAATTACATCTTGGTAATTAGTAATATAGACCCTGTTATGTATGTTAAAGAAAGCCCTTGTATTTGCTATTTGAGACTTAGAGTAAGTGCAGCAATTACCTAGAATGTGAGACACTACAATAACATAAGCTTTGTAGAATGGCACTGCATTTGGTAGAATGGCATTGAGCCCCGGTAACGTTAAGTAGAATGAGGGCTCACATGCAGTCTAAAAGAACATTTTCTAAAAGATAGAGCATGCAAGAGTGCAAAAAAAGACTGTTTTGAAAGATCAAAACCCGAACAAGTTATAAAGATTTGCAATACTAAAATAGAACAATAAGTCCCCTATGTAATCAACATAATCAAGATTGGTTTCTTCTCCTCAAGTTTAAGTGACTCTTAAACTTTCTTAAGCACTATTTAAAGTCTGTCCACTTTTGAGCACGGCTAGTAATTCTTCTGAATAATTACATTCAACTGTTGTTTGGGGTTTTTTTTAATCAAATAATCCTAATTTCACTAGTTATCTACTAAGTACTGTCCCCCAAGAATCAATACTGGGCCCAGTACTGATTAACTTCTACATCAGTGATTTGGATGGAGAGGCAGATGCTGCCCAGCAAGTTCACTGACAACACAAATCTGGGAGGAGTGGCCAATACCTCAGAGGGCTGTGCAGTCCTTCAGAAGGACCTCAACACATTGGAGAGATGGGCAGAGAAGAACTGTCTGAAATTCAACAAAGGCAAGTGCAGGGTCCTGCACCTGGGTAGAATAGCCCCAGGCACCAGCACAGGCTGGGTGTCAACATGCTGGAAAGCATGTAGAGAAGAACCTGAGGTCCTGGTGAACAACAACCTGTCTGTGAGCCAGCAGTGTGCCCTGGTGGCCAAGAAGGCCAATGGAATCGTGGGATGCATTAGGAAGAGCACTGCCAGCAGATCGAGGGAGGTGATCCTGCCCCTCTACTCAGCCCTGGTGAGGCCACATCTGGAGTGCTGTGTCCAGTTCTTGGTTCCTCAGTACAAGAGAGACATGGAACTTCTGGAGCAGGTCCACTGAAGAGCGACAAATATGATTGACTGAAGCATCTCTCCTATGAGGAAAGGGTGAGAGAGTTGGGCTTGTTCAGACTCGAGGAGACAACTGAGAGGAGACCTCATCAATGTCTACAAGTATCTGAAGGGAGGATGTCAAGAGGATGGAGCCAGGCTCTTCTCAGGGGTGCTAAACAATAGGATAAAAGGCAATGGGCAGAAACTTATGTACACAAAGTTCCTCCTGAACATGAGGAAGAATTTCTTTACTATGCAGGTGACTGTGCACTGGAACAAATTGTCCAAAGAAGTTGTGGAGTTTCCCTCATTGGATATTCACCTGATTGTGATCCTGTGCAATGTGCTCTAAGATGACTCTGCTTGAGCAGGGAGCTTGGACCAGATGATCCACTGTGTTCACTTCCAACCTGACCCATTCTATGATTTCGTGAAATTATGCATTTCTAAGAGTTACAGTAATATTGAGTTGAGGAACAGCACTGACAAAGTTAGCTGTAAGCCTAATTGTTATCCAAGTTTACAAATTAAACTTTAAAAAACCTCACACATGATTTTTTAATTTTTTAATGGAAAATATGAGATTCCATACCTTGTTTTTGAAGTAAACCTCAATTGGTAAAATGAAACCAGCATATCCTGATTCTTCAACTTTGTAGGGTGGATCCTTGCACACTGAAACAGAGAAAAACCCGTATTTAATACAAAAAAATTGTGTTTTAAATGCATAAGTAAACCACATGAGTAAATCTCCAATAACACTTCCATATAGCACCATTACAAAACCGCACACACACAGTCGGATATAACTGTGCACAACTCAAACTGAATTTTGCAAGCAAGTCATTCCTGCCTGCATAAAACCTGCAGTTTAGGGATAGCAAAATTTTATTTCTTCTTTTTGTTCTTCATCATTTGAGACTGCTAAAGCAGAACTATCAGGACCTTCAATACCAGGTGGAACAAATAAATACTCACAATGGTACATAGACTCTGCAGCCAAGGCTTTTTCTGGGAATAGAAATCACATAGGATTCTAACCCAAAAAAGTAAAACATGTAGAGGGAATAACTGCCATTCATGTATTCACAACCTAATATTAATAAAATCCCAATTCTAATAAACATAATTGAAAACAAATAAATTAATTAAATTAGGATTAACGCTAAGAAATTTGAAATCTTCATTACTGGGGGAGGAGGAGACACAATGCAACATACCAGTACACAGTGAAGAACCTCAGGAAGGTTAACTATTGCATCATATTAAAACAATATCCAGGTTTTCCTTAAAGGATTCATACTTCTATAACATTACAGTGAATATTACTAGTTTCAATATACAATCTTTTCCCTCAAGTTTTCAGTTCAATGCAAGGGCTTTTAGTTACTTTGAATCCCCACAGTACTGAACATGAGCTCTCTGAAGAAAGTGACACTAGCCTGTCAACTCCAGACAGTGACAAAAAGGAGGTTGTTACAGAACTTGGAACAGAAGCCACCTCTGCCTTCTCCTGGTTGACTGCATGATAACCTCATCACAGAATTCAAGTCCATGTAACACATAAATACAAAGGTAGGCTGAGCATGAGAAACCGCGCATCTCCTGCAGCTTCAACTCAGATGCTTCCAAGTGTTGCATTCCTACGCATCACAAATCATGTCTAAGGCACTACCACCTCAATGACAGTTTCCCTACTGTAGACTAGTAGAACGATGAAATTTATACACAAGAGGTTGACTTCTTCAGGAACATTTGCTCTAGCTCTGTCAGTCTAGTCGATCGGAAAAAAAAATTCAAACTCCAGATGAATCACCATTTATTCAGATATATGCTCCTTTCAGAATTGCCTGGTAGGTTATAAAAAGCAAGTCTTGCAAATAATTGTACAGGGCCCGATTACCAAAATTATTTTTTAGCAAAGTACAACAGATGAGCACTTTCAACTCTCTATCATCCCAAAAACATGACAAAGGCCATCACATACATCCAGGAATATAAGCACTGCTACACTCCCAATAGTATAATCAGTACATTAACTTTCTGAGGACATGCAAGCTTAGGTAACCCTCAAGTAAATGAACACAGCAGAATTTTTTCCTATCACCTTGCCATTCTCCTCCTGCTTTGCTAGCACAAAACCCTTTGAGGGTGAGGTGTTGATGGAGGGGCACGGACAGACTGCTCATAGACTAGAATGATCGGCAAAATGTCGGCTTTATTAGGAGAAAGACATCTTATATACTGCTTATGACACTCAGACGTGTGATTCTTCTTCACATAGCATTGGATACATAAGGAAAACATACTTTGTTGTACGGTGTTAACTGGATCACAACAGGTGTCCATAGGAGATGAGAAAACTTGTTCACCTGCCAAAAACTCCTCCTTGACCTTGGTAAAAAGCCTCCTTTGTTCTAGCCTCAAGGCTGAAGCCATGTTAGCTGCATAGTTGCTTTTTACTGTCCACACCCAATTATGCCAAGGCAAGGCTCATAGAAATGCAATAGAAATTGTTCACATACAATCTCTATACTCCAACAGTGAGGAAGATTAGAAGTCCTTGCTCACCTACTGCACTTGTCTATCACTACCCAGCTAACTTCATGCAATCGATAGAAAGGGAAAAGGATGGCAAAAACAGAGCAAGAATAACCTTTCAAAGACTCTTCTGCAACACCGTCCTCCTGCAGCTACGGAATTTAAGTCTGTTTCTCCTGTCAGGAAAAAAAAGTTTGTAAAGTGGGATTTGAAAGATTTTGAAGAAAAGTGTTACGGTGATCAGTCAAAGCTGAGAGGTGGTTTCAAACAGCCTGTGGTCTTCAGTTAGAAACTGAGCATTTTGTGTTAGAACTTCCCAGAAGTAATTTTTCACCTTACATTGACATGTTTTCCCTTAAGAAGGCTTGCCAGCATTTGAAAAATGTAAAAAAAGTAGTCCTAGTTAAGCACAGAGACAGGTTACAGTAATACATACTGATAACTTTTCAGCCAATGATAGAGTAGCCCTCCTGTTCTTCCTCCGCCTTTGGAAGACAACCTGAGGAGAAAGTCTTCCCTGTATGGTCATGTTCAGAAGAATGACCACTTATATACAAACAGGGAAAGATTATACAGCAGATACTTATCCGGATGGAAGCATAGACACTTTAGAAACAGCGATAATGCATTAACTACTACAAACTGCATTACATGACAATTCATAAGTATCATGTCAGCTTCTTCTGAACTCTTAATTGGTGCAGTAACAGTTACCAGAAGTATTTTTTGTTCCCTCCCCTCCCTCATTTCACGTTTTCACATGTACACAGCTGTTTGCTATGCTGAATAGTATTTTATCAAAGTCTCACATCACAGTTCTTAAAAGACTCTGTTATGGTTCCTACTTTTGTTGAAACCTGGGTAATGGGTTACAAAACAATCACCAGGAAACTCCTTTGGGTGTATTCCCAAACTGAAAGATGAACTTTTAACAAGTAAAATTCTACAATCTTGTGAATGAAGAACCAAAAAAAAAAAAATCAGAAGTGACTGAGCAAAGCTCCATGCTATTGTGTTTGTATAGACTGCAGCTATTACATCTTCCTCGCATTTGTTGTAGAAGCCACTATGGGCAGAATGTACTGGCAGAAAACAGCATCTCTGTGCACTCTGAAGCAGCACTCCCTGGCATCAGCTCTTTTATTGAATTGTCATGAAGAGTAACCAGGGCTGCAATGATGTGGTGCTTTCGCCAAGCCAACAGGCAAGCATCCTAGCAAGGTTTCTAAATGGAGAATCACAGAATATTCTGAGTTGGAAGGGACCAACAAGGATCACTGAGTCTAACTCTTAAGTGAATGGCTTATACAGGGACAGTAACAACCTTGGTGTTACTATCACCAGGCTCTAACCAATGGAGTAGAGAGGGAGAGTTCTTTCAATAATGCCAGTATAATGAATTACTCAAGATCACAGCCAGCCAGAACAGGAACTGACGATTATCTGTCCCCTGTTTTGTCAGAGGAATATGCCTTCTCTACAGCTCACATAAACAGCTTAAGTCATTTATCTCAAATGTTTTGTTCCTTTATTCCACAAGTGAAGCACTGCTTCTTCTCTCACACATGTATTCCCACGTGTTCCATCAGACATTAACTGACACCAAAGGAACAGATGCAATCAAGCCATGATGATGTACTTTACTAACAGTGACTACACTGAGGCCTTTGGAGATAGCAGTAACAAAATTCTAGTTAAAGCTATCTTTCTTGAAAACTTTAACATGAGATTCATTTGGCAGTCTAACACTGTTGAACACTTCATTGTGAATAGATTTTTTTTCTTTATTAAAAATGCAGTCAAAACAAACAAGGAAAGACAGAAGTTCCTTTTCAGCAGATGCTGACACAAGAACATCAGGATGATGCCCAATAATGTCTGCAATGATTCACATATATTTTGTGCATCCTGCAGGACACTCTAAGTGGGTGCTTGTAAAAAGAGAAGCCTTCTTATAGAGAACTGGTTTAACTAAGTTCTTGCTACTGGTATTATATAGATTCTTGCCTATTATTTGCTCATATTGGTCATCCTTAAACCAACTTTTCCCTCTATTCAACACCATCTTCATTAAAAGAAGTCTCAAAACATTCATTTTCAGAGGAAGGCAGACTGTGGTACCAAATCCCTTCTGCAGAATAATTCAGCTTTAAATATTCAGCTGTGATTTCTATAAAAGCTCTTTGCTACCCTGCAGCTCACCTTGCCAGCTGGTGAAGTCCAGTATTTGGATTCTATAAAAAAACCAGCCAGCAAGAGAATGGCTCTGTTATGTCCTAACCTCAGGCACATCTCAGCCATTAATACCAAAAAAACTCTAGGCAGGTTCAAACAGAAGATAGGAAAAAATACTAAGTTGAGTGTGGGTTAAACAGTACTTCCTACTGTAGAAATAAGAGGTGCCCATTTGCTCAACACCTTATGCTGACATGTATTTAACGACAAAGATAAAACCCTGAAGTAAAAGCAGAAAAGAGACTAAAAAAGAAGACTGAGTTTTCAGCATTGCATTTTCAATCCTACTAAATTCTCTGCCTCACATATTGAGTGCCCAGATTCACACCACTTCTACCAGCGTATCAAGATACAGCTTAAAATCTGTTAAATAAAGTGACCCCTAATTAAATGTTGGAGTGACATTTTCTGCATATTCCTCAACCATTGAATAGGTTCTTCATCAACTGAGAACAATCCAATACACAAGATAGCAGGTCAGGAAAGTCTTCAGGGCTGGGACTGAGTTTTGACTCAGCTGCACCTAGGCTCCATCAGGAATTTATAAAGCAAGGGGGTCCTCTCTGAACCTTGGGTCCCAGTGGGAGGGTATTCCTTACCTTTTTGCATCCTTACCCTTTTCCATCTCTGGTCTCCACAAAAATAATTCTAAGCTGACCCTAATCCAATTTTTCATTGTGCATTTCATCCTTGTAGTAGTAACAGAGCCAACTTTGCCATTGAACTTTGTTAAGTCACGCTTGCACAAATTTATATTAAACTTGCTTTTGCTAATACTGTTGTCAGAGATAATTTAAGTGACCTAAACCACACATTGGCAGCATTTTCCCAAGTCACCACTACACATGATGGAGCCCTGCTTCCCTGGGGATGGCTGAACACCTGTTTGCCCATTAAGGAA